AGTTAAAATTGCCATAGTTGGTTTGGCTCAATGGGTAGAGCATTGGCTCATGGACTGAAGGGTCCTGGGTTCTATTCCAGTCAAGGGCACGTACCTCGGTTTCAGGCTCAATCCTCAGTCAGGGAGCACATGTGGAGGCAGCCAATCAATGTGTTTCACATTGATGATTCTCTTTCTGTATCTCCCTCTTCCTTCCACTTTCCCTAAAAATCATGGGAAAATTTCCTCAGGTGAGAACCAAAAATAAATAAATAAACAAATGAATTAAATTTAAGTAAAAACTATACAAAAACTGTATAGAGTGTTTTCCTCCCTATCCCTTCTGCTCTATTCCACCCTCACCATCCCTTAGAGATAATGGTTTATTGTTTTCTGGCTTCTGTTATTACTGTAAAAAACAACAAATCAACAGATACATGCTTGTTTTCTTATTTTTTTTTAAACAAAACATTAACATATATACATTTTACTGTTAGAGGCACTCTCATTGACACTAGTGAGTTACTAGCAGATAGCCCCTTTCGTCAGTGGGAGAAGACTGTCCCCAACTTTGATTCTTTTCTCATATAATTGAATTTATACAAGAGATCACTGCATGCGAAAAGCCAGTTTATTAAAGCATACACCTTTATTAAGAAGCAAAGCCAGCACACCTATTCATCTGGCTTAGGAAGCGCAGAGGGGCTCTCAGCTCATCTGAAGGGCGAGTTGGGTTCGGGTCCAAGGTGTCATATAGCCTCCTGTCTATAGGTCTCAAATTTCTTCTGCTGAATATTTTGGTACAAAGTAATTCTCAAGGCCCCTTTTTACTTTTTGTAACCTTCCCAGAATTCATGGGAAGCACCTGCAACTTCATCTTGCCCAACCTAAGACTGCTGGCTTCTCTGCTTTGGGTGTAAAATAGCCTCTTTTTTCCCATTCCCCTTTGTCCCTCCCTTTCTGCATTCTCTCCTTAGGGAGGTTTTTAACCATTTGCCTTCAAGTGTTCTTGACTGGGGAAGAAATGGCTGATCTACAAGCTGGCTGCAAATTGCTCACTCCATTTGGGCAGTTTCTTTATTCCTCCTGCCCCGGAATCCTGTAACATCACTATACAATATATCCTTGAAATTGCTCCTTATTTGTCAATTATAAAAATATTCTTTATTTTCTATCCGTTTTGTATTTGTACCATAGCTTACTTAACCACTCTTCTTTGTGTGGATATGTAGGTAGTTTTCCATATTTTGTAGTTACAAATAATTCTACAAAGAATAAATCTATGCATATATACTTTTGTATTGTTGGAAGTGTATTTTCACTATAAATTCCTATATGGGATATTTGAATTAAAGTGTAAATGCATACATAATTGTGTTTGAGATTGACTAATTTCCTTCAGAAGTTTTGCCAGTTTGTGTTCCCAGTAATGTATAAGAGTGCCTGTTTCCCTCACAGCCTCACCAACTAAATAGATTGGCAAATTTAGGAATATTTGCCAATCTAACAGGAGAATTAGTATTTTAGTATTTAGTTATTTGTTTTCCTCTTATTATTGAGTGAAATTAAAAACACATTTAAGGGCAATTTTATTATTTCTTCTTGACCTTTTGCCCATTTTTCTTTAGGATTTCTAGTCTATTTTTTCTTCAGCTTCTGAAAATTATTTTTATGTTAAGGGTATTAGCCTTTATATCTAATGTATATTGTAAATGTTTTCTTGATTTTGCTTATGGTATTAGTTGTGTTAATCCTCATCTGAGGATATTTTCCCATTGATTTCTAGAGAGAGTAGGGGGGAGGGAAGGAGAGACAGAGAGAGAGACATTGATTGATTGCCTCCTGTATTTGCCCCGACCAGGACCAAGGATCAGAGCCTGCAACCGAGGTACATACCCTTGACCAGAATCAAACCCAGGACCTTTCAATCCATGGCCGACGCTCTATCCACTGAGCCAAACTGTCTAGGGCTTGCTTATGGCATTTTTTTTTTTTTTTTTTTAACAGAGAGGAAGAGAGAGGAATAGAGAGTTAGAAACATAGATGAGAGAGAAACATCGATCAGCTGCCTCTTGCACACCCCCTTCCAGGGATGTGCCCGCAACCAAGGTACAGTCCGCAGGCCAACGCTCTATCCACTGAGCCAAACCAGTTTTGGCGTGAAAATTTTCTTTAAATTACTTTAGTGATATTCTGAGTTCCTAGCTTCTTTTCCTTTTCTGTTAATATTAATTGAGTTCACCATTACAGTCATAAGCATATGTTGGATCATGTCATTCTTTATACATTTCCACTTTTATTGCCCCTGCTTCCTTATGTTTATATTCTAGAGGCCTGGTGCACAAAATTTGTGAATGGGGACAAGGAGGTGCCCCTCAGCCCAGCTTGCACCCTCTCTAATCTGGGATATCCTTCTCACAATCCAGGACTGCTGGCTCTCAATCACTCACCTGCCTGCCAGCCTGCTCGCCCCTAACTGCCCTTCCCTGCCAGCCCTATTGCCACTGCTTCCCTGCTGGCTGATTGCCCCTAACTGCTCTCCCCTGCGGCTCAATTGCCCAACTGTCCCTAACTGCTCTCCCCTGCTGGCCAGGTTGCCCCTAACTGCCCTCCCCTACCAGCCATCTTGTGGCAACCATCTTGTGTCCACATGGGGATAGCCAATTTTGACCAATTGGCAAGCCATCTTATGTGAGGGTGTGAGGGTCAATTTGCATATCACCTCTTTATTATATAGGAGCATAGAGTGTCTTAGTAGGATTGACAAGAAGTCTAGAGTACTGACCCAAGAGTCTGATACCCAAGTTAAGAGGAAAGTTACATAATTTTAACCAAGTCTGATCACAAATGTTTAATTGTCTAAGATTAGGGGATAAGGAACTTAGAACTGTTTCTTAGGCATCAGTTTTTCAGTAGGTGGATACTGATGGAATGCCAGCTATGTGTAGAGTACCTTCACAGGGACAAAGTTACACTGTCTGGCTCCTAAACTTTGGAAAGGAATTTACATTTCCTGAGTTCTGTGCTTTATCTTCAGGTTCCAAATATGATCTAATGACCTGACCTTAAATAAATATCAAAATAAGTAATAATAGCATATGGCACTTCACCAAGTATCAGACATTATTCTCAACACTTTACATATTATATGTTCTCATTTAATATTCACCAATGAGGACACTGTGGCACAAAGAGGTTAAATAACTTTCTCAAAGACACACAGCTAGATATTTGAACCCAGGCAGAATGATGATCTTTCCCTAATGGTTTGCGTTTTGCTTTTTTATATTCTCTCGATGTATTTAGCCTCTTTTTTTTTTTTTTAATCTTTATTGTTCATATTATTACAAAGGTTCCTCATTTCTTCCCCCCTCCACCAGGTTCCCACCCCACCCTCCGCCCCCTCCCCATCCCCCATTGTCCTCATCCATAGGTGCAGTTTATGTTCAGTCTCTTCTTCCCTCCCTTTCCCCAATAGTAAATCCCTTTTCAGATAGTAAATCAGTTACTTAGCATTTTCTCATATCAATAATACCTCCACATGCCCAATGATACACTTCACACAAAAGACATTTCCCAATAGGTCCACCAGCCTCATCCAGGCCCCACCCAAGGCACTCACAGATCAACACCCCAGCCCTATACTAACTCAACACATCCAGATCTAAGCCTTCATCACTTGATTCCGCAGACCCTCAAGTTCCCACGAAAGTTTCCAGCCATGTCTGAGAAGCAGCCGTGGGGCAGGGGCAGGCGAGGAGCGAGCTGTTCCGGGCCTGGCTGCTCGGGGCCTGGCCTCTGTTGCTCTGGTTCGTTCCACAACCAGCTGCTCCGGGTCTGGTCACTGCCGCTCCCGTCCTAGTTGCGCTGGACTTGGCTGCTGCTGCTCCGGGCCTGGCCGCTCCCAGCCTGGCAGCCGCTGCTCCGGGCCTGGCCGCTCCCAGCCTGGCAGCCGCTGCTCCGGGCCTGGCCGCTCCCAGCCTGGCAGCCGCTGCTCCGGGCCTGGCCTATTTAGCCTCTTTATAAAGTAGGAGTGAAAGTCTTTTTGTCTGGTAGGATAGAGTGTCCTCTTCCTTGTAGAGTTTCTCCCTTGCTACCCTAACTAACCATTTTCCAGAGTCAGAGTTTTCCTTGGAGGGGAAGTCCAGGAGGCCAAACCAACAGACTTATTTTCTAACATGACTAGCCTCATGATTTTTTAACCATCTCCCTAACATTTGCACTTACTGATTTCTCCTCTTCTTTAGTTTTGCCTGTTTTCTACTGATTATATCTTCTTAACTTTTGTATTATTAATCTGTCTCCTCTTCTTTAGAGATTTCTACCCTCTGTTTGTTTTTCCATGACTTGGTGTCATTTTTAAAAAACTGAGGAATGTTGCCCCCAGTTTTGTACATCATTTCAAGCCATTTTAACGTACCCTCACCAGGGGTGGGGAACCTTTTTTCTGCCAGGTATCCTTTGGATATTTTTAACATCATTTGTGGGCTATACAGAATTATCAACTTAGAAATTAGCTTTTAATTAACATTGAATTAACTCACCCCTAATGCCTTGAGAGGACCATCCCCACTCCTATGATAAGATGTTATACAATAATAGAAAAGCTCTCTGATTTATTGAAAATCCATGGCTCTAGCATTTCAACATTAGCCCTACAACAGCAGAAATTTTGGCATGTCCACAATTGTATCCCAGCAGTTAAGTAGCTACCGCGCAGTATGTAGTCATTTAACACTTGAGTGAATGAGTGAATTTGGATGTAATTCTTCCAGTTTCTTCTAAACAAAGTGAATAAGTATTTCCTTTTTTTATTATTATTATTTAGTGTCACATTTCAAGACGAGGGGCACTGAGGATGAGGAATCAACTGAAAAGTGTGGAAATGTTGGAAATGCAGAATCTCTGTGGCTAAAAGTGCAAGGTCTTCACAAGGATCATATGCAGGAATCTAAGGTTGGTGAAACTTGTGATTGGGATAGCAAGGTAAAGAGCCAATTAGAAAAGCCTGAGGGAAAAGAATGATGGAAGACAAAAGTGGCATCAGGGGAAAGATTGGAAAAGCCAAGAACACAGCAAATATAAATACAGAACAGAAAGACAAGGCATCTGAGAAAAACTTGTCTCTGAGCTCAAAGCACGTTACACACCATACCATCCCTATAGAACAGAGAAGCAGTGAACAAGGCAAATGTGTGGAGAACATCAATGGAAATTCTCATCTCCATCTGAAGCAGAAAACCAGTGCTTTTAGGAAATCCCATAAATGTGATGAGTGTGGGAAATTCTTTAAATATAATTCCCGCCTGATTCAACATAAAGTTATGCACACTGGGGAAAAACACTATGAGTGCGAAGACTGTGGAGGGGCTTTCCGGAGCAGTTCGAGCCTTCGAGTCCACAAGCGGATCCATACTGGGGAGAAGCCGTATAAGTGTGAGGAATGTGGGAAAGCCTACATGTCCTATTCCAGCCTTATAAACCATAAAAGCACCCATTCTGGGGAGAAGAACTGTAAATGTGATGAGTGTGGAAAATCTTTCAATTATAGCTCTGTTTTAGACCAGCATAAAAGGATCCACACTGGGGAGAAGCCCTATGAATGTGGCGAGTGTGGAAAAGCCTTCAGGAACAGCTCTGGTCTCAGAGTCCACAAAAGAATCCACACAGGGGAGAAGCCTTATGAATGTGACATCTGTGGGAAGACTTTCAGTAATAGCTCCGGCCTCAGAGTTCACAAAAGGATCCACACAGGTGAAAAGCCCTATGAATGTGATGAGTGTGGAAAGGCCTTCATTACTTGCAGGACACTCCTAAACCATAAAAGCATCCACTTTGGAGATAAACCTTACAAATGTGATGAATGTGATAAATCATTTAATTATAGCTCTCTCCTCATTCAGCATAAAGTCATCCACACTGGAGAAAAACCTTACGAATGTGATGAATGTGGGAAGGCCTTCAGAAATAGCTCGGGCCTTATTGTACATAAAAGAATCCACACGGGAGAGAAACCTTACAAGTGTGATGTCTGTGGCAAAGCATTCAGCTATAGCTCAGGCCTTGCAGTCCACAAAAGCATTCACCCTGGGAAGAAGGCTCATGAATGTAAGGAGTGTGGGAAATCTTTTAGCTATAACTCACTTCTTCTTCAGCATAAGACTATTCACACTGGAGAGAGACCTTATGTATGTGATGTGTGTGGCAAAACCTTCAGAAACAACTCGGGCCTCAAAGTCCACAGGAGGCTCCACACTGGGGAAAAGCCATACAAGTGTGACGTGTGTGGCAAAGCCTATATCTCACGTTCTAGCCTTAAAAACCACAAAGGAGTCCATCTTGGGGAGAAGCCCTTTAAATGTAGCTATTGTGAGAAATCTTTCAATTATAGCTCTGCTCTTGAGCAACATAAAAGGATTCATACGAGGGAGAAACCTTTTGGGTGTGATGAGTGTGGAAAAGCCTTCAGAAATAATTCAGGTCTTAAAGTACATAAACGGATCCATACTGGGGAGAGACCTTACAAGTGTGAAGAGTGTGGGAAAGCCTACATCTCACTCTCAAGCCTTATAAATCATAAAAGTGTACACCCTGGGGAAAAGCCCTATAAGTGTGAGGAGTGTGAAAAGGCCTTTATCACATACCGAACCCTTATAAACCACAAAAAAATCCATCTTGGGGAGAAGCCCTACAAGTGTGATGTGTGTGAGAAATCTTTTAATTACACCTCACTCCTTTCTCAACACAAAAGGGTTCACACTAGAGAAAAGCCCTATGAATGCGACAGGTGTGAGAAGGTCTTCAGAAACAACTCAAGCCTTAAGGTGCATAAAAGAATTCATACTGGGGAGAAGCCCTATGAATGTGATGTGTGTGGAAAAGCCTACATCTCACACTCAAGCCTTATTAACCATAAAAGTACCCACCCTGGGAAGACACCCTATACATGTGATGAATGTGGGAAAGCTTTTTTCTCAAGCAGAACTCTTATAAGCCATAAAAGAGTTCATCTTGGAGAGAAACCCTTCAAATGTGTTGAGTGCGGGAAATCTTTTAGTTACAGCTCACTTCTTTCTCAACACAAGAGGATCCACACAGGGGAGAAGCCCTATGTATGTGATGGTTGTGGAAAGGCATTCCGGAACAGTTCAGGCCTCACAGTGCATAAAAGGATCCACACAGGCGAGAAACCCTACGGATGTGATGAGTGTGGGAAGGCATACATCTCACACTCGAGTCTTATCAACCATAAAAGCATCCATCGTGGGCAGCAGCCCTATAATTGTGAGTGTGGTAAATCCTTTAATTATAGATCAGTCCTTGACCAACACAAAAGGATCCACACTGGAAAGAAGCCATTCAAATGTAGTGAGTGTGGGAAGGCTTTTAATATCAGATCAGATCTAACCAAGCATAAAAGAATCCATACAGGAGAAGAATATTTAAATGTGCCAAATGTGGGAAGTTACAGTGGCACATCACAAAGGAGAACTCATGAGGGTGGGAGTGTTCTGGATGGGACCAGGATGAGCTTGTCTCTAGGAGGCAAAGCTTTTTGAGTCTCAACTCAAATGGAAGAAAAATCTTATGAATGTAAGAATATCTGAGGCCCTCTTTCATGGCTTATAATCTACATAGTATAAATGAAACCATGAGTAATCTTTTCTATGTTTCAGTCATGGCCAGCAAGGAGGCCTCCAATGTCAAGGTAGTTGAGTCCTATGTTTCATACTGGGGATAAAATCTATCAAAATGATAGAATGTCAAAACCTTCAAAATAAGCAGACATTCCTGGACAAACACATGTACGAGGAAAGGGTTTAAGTTCATATTTAGATAAGTTCTGTAAATCTCAATGTGGGACATTCAGTTATAGCTTTGAGTCCCAATTATAGATTGGTCAGTGGAAAAATCCCAAGAAGGTCCGCCAACAGGCAAATTCAGGGAGAGAGAGGCTTCAGGGAATATAAATTTATTTAATAGTAGTGATCGTAAAATAAAAAGTTAATATAATTGAATGGGAAGGAGGTGATGACAAATTGTGAAATAAAATTTGAATTTTGTGGGGAAAGTAAAAAATGTAAGATAAGAGAGAACCTTTTTTTTAAAAAGGCAGTTGATTGGATTATGCTGTTATAATACGATACACTAGTTGAGTGGGTGAAACTTTAAAAAAAAAAATAAACCTCAATGAATGATAAATGTGTAGTGAGTGAAAACCTACAAATAAAAGGTTCTGCCATGGAGAGAAATACAGCACATTCAGGAACTAACGGAACACATCTTCATTATGAATTTGCACAAAAAGAATTGATTCAGGGATTCCTATGAATAGGAATGCTGAGGAGGGCATTTTATTGTAGAAGTGAAAAAAACTAAGTAAGTACTAATAATCAGGGCATAGGAAATTTATGCTTCTTAATGTTGTAAAATGATGCTTTGGATTGTTATTGTAAAGCTTTCATGCACTCCATGTGTCTATTGTCTTTTGTAAAATATTATGAATATGTTGTTCAGGGCTTACTCTCTCTGCCATGAAGAGACGGATAATTGTGCCAAGGTAAGGTGGAACTCCAATAAAGATATTCCTCAAGAGTAAACGGTGTGCCTGGACTTCAGATGGAGCGGTATGCAGGGAAAGCCATTGTGTCACATCTTCGTGGGGTACGTTATGCCAGATACACACCTCGGAGGACAGCAGGGGCTCATCCCCCAGGGCTAGCAGCTCAGATCTCACTAGAAGTTAGGTGGTACCTCCACCAGGAGAAGTGCAAAATGGATTGGACTGGTGCTGGATCATAACTCCTGGGAATGGGCAAGCTCTTAATGGTAGTCACCACACAAACAATTCTGTTAGGAACTGATAAAATTTAACAAAATATTAATTTTGTATAAAGCTATTAACTAGGTAACTCAAAGGGTGAAATGAAAGTCTTCTAGAGTTCAGTAACCTGTCCAAGAATAGTCTGTGTGGGGCCAATCTGAAGAGGCTGAATTCCCTGTCAGGTCTCTCTGGTCCAAAAATGCACTCTTTTTCAATAGAAAAATCTCTAGCCAAATAGTGTCCCTGCTCTCTCTAGGACTTCATGTATCTAGCCACAAAGTTTACATGCCTCTCTCTAGAAGTATAAGTTTTTCACTTTGTCTCCAAACCTTCATCAGTAAATTTTGATGGGGGAAGGCAGGGATGAAACTAGGAAAGGGAAAGATAAAGCATTTCTGTCACTCAACTCTCACTTAGGAATGTCACTACCATACTTGCTCTTTGTTCTGTTCACAGGGAACACTGGAAACATGATTCTCTCCATAGACTTGTGTTAATATATTCAGCAAATTCTTGTTGAGGACGTGCTAGCCACAGTCCATTGTCCTAGGCTCTGGGCAGGAGGAGTAAATTAAGGATATATAACAGAGAAAGTCCATAAGCAAAGCTATCCCAATGGATGCTGAACTAGAATGCAGCATTCAGAAGAAAGTGAGCACCATTATTGGTCAAGAAGAAGAGGTAACTGGTATTTGGGCCAGACAGTTTAATTTTATTATAAAGTGGGAGGATTGGGAAATGGGCTGGCCTGATGAGAGACATCATCAGAAAAGCTCACACATCCTTCAGAGTGGCCAGTCTCTAGCAGGGCTATGCCCAGTGAACAGAAAGGAGGGATGCCATAGAGTATCAGTTTTCAGGAGTCACCAGACCCTCTTTAATTTACTGAAGATAAAACCAGTATGGTTTTAGATCACTGGGTTACCTGAGGTTTCTGTGTAGCCAGGGCTGTCAGTGTGCCAGTGACTTGAGGGCCCCATAAGACACTGCCTACTTTCAGGAGAGTCACCACTCAAATGGAAATTCTGAGGGCCCGTGCCTACTGAGCACTGGGACACATGACTAAGACCTCCATTGACTCATCCATAAGAAGTGGGTCCTGGGGCCTCTTGGCCTTGAGCCTATCTAAGGACAGATATGTGCAGCTCAGGATGATCCCAGACAAGGAGGGGTCTTTGAGCCTCTCCATTCCGGGCAGAGTGGTGCAGAGGTGGTTTGACTGCATATGTTCAGCTATTGGGACTTGAGCTGGTTTAGGGACTACCATTACCACTTTTCAGAGAAAATTTCTGATACATGAGAAGAAAAGTGAAATTTCCAACATATGTAGGTAAATCAAAACACTTAAGAAAAAAGTGTCTAAGAAAACCTTTAATTCAAGACTTAAAATAGAATGGAAATCTTGGACAATAGGTAAATTGAGAGATGGAAAAAGATCAAAGTGCAGTTTAAATGTAGATTTTTATGACATTAACTGATAAATTGTCATAGTGGGCACTAGAATGATAGAAATAAAGGATATAAATCTAAAAATTTGGGCTGGAAAACCTCAAAGTCTAGAAAAGAAAAACAATGTTAAAAAGGTGGGGCAATGCTTTCTGGTAAAGATGGGCTATGTTATTTGTGTTAACTTCCCACCTAAAAAATAAAAATAAAAAGACTAAAATGTAGTTGAGATGCCTTGTGCTTCAAGAGCCTTGAAAGTGAGAAGACAGTGTAGTTTAAATAAGTAGTGCAGTTTGAAAATGGGATCCTGTCATCAGAGAGGGAAACTCCAAAGGAGCTTATTCTCTAAACTGTTTACTGATGCTACATAGTTGAGCATCACGTCAGTCACCGGGAGACACAGAAGGTCAGGGCCAGGTCTGCCTGAGGTGATGAATCTTACAGGAGACCTTTCCAAAGTTAAACTAGCTCCCAAAGGGCTTTATCCTCAGGATAAGGTAAACCAGTCTAAACGCATCCCCAACTCTTGGGACTGCAGAGGTAGCAGTGCTATTACTAAGAAAAGCAAGAGAAGAAAAAGTAATGGAAAAACATCCCTAATGCCCTGTGGTCATTGGCCAACCGTACTAGATAAACATCTGGTTTATCACAAAACTTTGGGATAAGGACCCTTCAATTTTGACCTCAAGTCACCCTTATAGATAATTTTTCAGGGACAATTAATAAAGATAATCAGATACAAAAGGAAGAAAAGGCAACATACGGTAACTGAAAGCCATGTGAAAAGGACATACATAGGCTTCACATATTGGGTTACACTGGGGTCAGGGGAGGAACTGTTCTCAAAATATTTGAAGATGTATTTGGCAACAGTATGTGAAACAAAAGAATTGGTGAAAACACGAAAGATTGGTGAAGAAATTATCCAGAATGCAGCATAGAGATAGAAAAGAAGTTTGACGTATGTTTAACCATAAAAGGCAAGGACACAATAAAAGGCAAAGAGAATGGGGCTGAGAATTGTCTAGAGCTGATGAAAAAAATATAAGCCTGCAGATTTAAAAGCCCAAAGAACACAAAGGAAGATAACTTTATGAAAAAGTCAAACTTAAACACGACATATTGTAACTGCAGAAAATCCAAGCTAAATACACACAAACTTCTCAGCAGCAACAATGGAAGCCAAAAGAATGGAGTGAAAACAGCATAAAGATAGAAAATAATTGTCAACCTAGAATTTTAAAAAAATATATATTTTATTGATCTTGTACAGAGAGGAAGAGAGAGGGATAGAGAGAAACATCGATGAGAAAGAGTCATCGATCAGCTGCCTCTTGCACATCCCCCCTGGGGATATGCCTGCAACCAAGGTACACGCCCTTGACCGGAATCGAACCCGGGACCTTTCAGTCCCCAAGCCGACGCTCTATCCATTGAGCCAAACCGGTTTTGGCATCAACCTAGAATTTTATACCCAGTGGAAATATATTTCAAGAATGAGGATACAAATAAGCACATTTTAAGACAAATTATTTGCTTTACTAGCCAATAAAGAAAAATCTAAAGAATCTGTTGTGATACAGAAGGACCATGATCCCTGATGGATCAGGAGACACAGAAGGTCAGGGCCATATAAAAAGAAATGAGCAAAGAATAAAGAATATGTTGCCAAATGTAAATGCTTTATATAAAACAAAAATCTGGAGTTGTGAAAATAAGAGGCTTAGAATATCAGACAATAACATATAAGTCAATAGTAAAAAGGATTGTATTATATAAGGGTAAAGGTTTGGTTAATCGCATGCATATGTAAAGTCCAGGGAAATAAAATAGAATATATAATTTCAATACTAGGAGATTAAAAATGGACTTTTAAAAATAAAGTAAAATAAAAAATGGGTGGGACAAAGAAATAAACCAAAAAGGTGATAGATCTTAAGTCAAACATATCAGTATTTATACTCTATTTAATTTCATTAAATGATAGATGGTCAGTCAGTGTCTTAGTCTATAGTCTGCTAAAATACCACAGACTGGGTGGCTTATAAACAACAAACAATGTGTTTCTCACAGTTCTAGAGGCTGGGAGTAAGCCCATGATCAGAGTGGTGGAAGATCAGAATGCCTGGATAAGGGCTCTTTTCCAATTTCAGATTTCTAGTTGTATCCTCACATGGTGGAAAGGGCTGAGATGTTCTGTGGGTTTTATAAAACCACTAATCCCACCCTCCTGACCTAACCACTTCAGAAAGGCCTCGCTTCCAACACCATCACACTGACATTAGGATT